CGCGCGCCGGATCGCGGGGCCGTCCCCCGCCAGCTCCTCCGCACCCGCACCCGCCGGCCTCACGCTCGCTCCCGCCGGGCCTCGGCGCCGGCAAGGAGAGGTAGGGGACCCCGCCTATCGTGTGGCCGGCCGATGGGGCCCCAGCCCCCTGCCTCTAGCTCTGGAGGCCCGGGCGAGCGGCGAGGGCCGGCCGCCGTGAGCCGGTCGGCCAACGACCTTCTCCGGGCCTGCGATGGCCCGCGGCGGGCGCCGGCCGGGTTGCCTAGCGCCCGGGGCCCCTGCTCGGAGCCAACGTTTGTAACGTCTCTTCCCGTCCCCGCCCCTCCCCCCGGGCCCCGCGCCGCCGTGGCCAACGGCTTTTGGTATTTCTCCTTTGTATGCGTCTCGAGGCCGGCGGTTCGGAGCTTTGTCTTAGAACCGAGAGGCGGGCGTGGGTCGTCTCCGGCGCTCGGGATTCCGTAGGCTGCCGCTGCTCTCGCCCCGAAACGTTTCTCTGCGTAAATTCACCCCACTGACTCAGGGCAGGCGTGAGAGCGCGCCTCGCGCCGGGGGGGGAGAGGTGTTTGCTTTGGTTTAGGACGTTAGGTGGGAGTCGTGGTCGGCGGTTGACGGTGGTCTGCGAGTGGGAAAAATGACCCAGATGCATTGTTCAGATTAGGGCTTCTTTGTACGGAAGGTGACTGCGTGTGTGTTATATCTCCATTTTTAAAAAGGGATCAGTAACGGCTATCAACTTCGTCTTTTCGATGGGTTGGAAAATTCCAGCCGAAGCGCTGGTCTGCACTCGGGTGTAATACTTTGTATCTAAATACAAAAGAAGTATTGCAGCCATGCAGAGCACATTGTCTTGCTACCGGGACGCTGCCCCGACCCTGGGATGGTCAACTGAAGCCTTCCCAGCTCTTGGTGTGGTGCGTGTGGGGCATGGAGGATCGCCTGAAGTTCACTGCAGCCCGGGGACCGAGAACGGGTCCAAGCCGTTTCGGGTGGCTTGTCGTCCATCTGTAGATGCTAGGAATGGAGTCAAGTAGATGTCGGAAGGAATAAGAATTGGAAAGTTTCTATTCATGGAAAGGAGTCAATTCCTTTCATTCTTGTGCTAATTTCTCTCTTCCCTACAACGCTGCAGTTGATGGTTGGTGTGTGCTAGTTGGATCTTGGGAGCTCTGGTAGCGTAGTGCCTAAGACACTTGACTGCTAACCAGAAGGCTGGCGGTTCAAACCCCCCAGCCACTCCTCGGAAGGAAGGTTGGGCAATCTACTTCCGTAGTGATACTGCCTCAGAAACCCAAGGAGGGGTCGCTATGAGTCGGGGCCGACTCGACGGCAAATAACAACAACAACAACAAGTTGGATCTTTGGGAAATAAAGAAACTGCGGGGACCACCCCATTCTTGAACTTCTCCTCACTCCCCCTGCACCCCCGAATACCGCTGTGGTCTCCCTTGAGTGTGTGACTACTTCAGGGGCATGCACGATGCCTTCATTTTGGCCACTGTCTCACCCTGTAACTGGAGCCCAACTTGACATACATCTCTCCACAGAGATGATTGCACTTCAGCGCTCCTTCCTTTCCTCTCTGGTGGGAGCTTGTCCCAGGACTCCGTTCTCCCTTCTCTTTTCTAGCTCCTCACTCCTATCCTTGTATCGTTTTCAGAATTCAAAGCCTCTTACCAGACTGACACTCTTTTGGGTCTGCCTTTAAGATCTTGGACTTAATGAAATGTCCTCATTTATTGCTGAGTCAGTGGGGATTTTTTTGCCCCCAGGAACCAAGAGATTTACTGTGTGTTTAAGAAGTTTACGTAACAGTAATCTAATTATCCGAACGACTTGTGAAAGGTGTAGGGTGTGTGTGTGTGTACATATACATATATATAGGTAGGGGGCTGTCTTTATAGCTTTTGCTTGGGGAAATGAAAAATAAAATTGAGGTTACTTGCCATGCCTGGAGTTTGATGTTTGACACTGTTTCCGGTTATCTAGATGCTGAGCTTGACCTGGTGTTTCTGTTTTAATCTCCTCTGGGGCGAGTATCGGATCTTTGACTCACTCTAGACAGTTTCGTTTTTCACCGCAGCCTAGGGCTTTGTCAGTGTCTGCTCAGCGGCTGCTCCGTTGCAGTTTGACTTGTTGGTAAGTCCTTACCCACTGCCATCGAGTGGGATCCCACTCATAGTGACCCCTCCTTGGGTTTCCGAGGCGGTGTCACTACGGAAGTAGATCGTCCAACCTTCCTTCCGTGGAGTGACTGGTGGGTTTGAACCACCAGCCTTCTGTTTAACAGTCAGAGCTCCCTGGTAATCCCGTACATAAACTTAAACCAAAAACCAGACCCACTGCCCTCACATGACCCTGTTGAATAAACAGAGTAGTGCTGCCCCATAGAGAAGGCTGTCATCTTTACTGAAGCAGACAGCCACATCTTTCTCCATTGAGTGGTAGGTTCAAACCACCCTCTCTGTTAGTAGCCGAGCACTTCCATTTTGTCACCAGGGCTCTGTAACCGATATATAAAGGTCCAGTGTTAGCTCTTAAATGACACTTTCAGGTTCAAACCATGAGGGAGGATGACTCACTGGACAGTATAGATACCTAACTAGTCAAAGGCCTGGTGTTTTTCTTTTGTATGATTATAGAGTGTATCATTAAAAAGGAAAAAAATGAGAAAAGGAGTTTGAAATACACACCTAGTTAATGCATAGTGAAAGTTTATAAAATGAGGGAAAAAAATGGCAACTATAGAATACAGGATCCCCAACTGGAACAGTGGGGTGAAGGTGCAATCAGGGGTCTCACGACTGGCACTGTTTCCTTATTAAACTGCTTCATTATTCCTTTTCTAAAGCTTAGCCCAACCCATTGCATTTGAGTCGATGACAACTCTTGGCGACCCCACAGGACAGAGTAGAAGTACCACTAGGGTGTTTCCAAGGCTGTCCTCTTTATGGAAGCAGACTGCCACATGTTTCTTCCATGGAGCAGCTGAAAGGTTCAAATTGCTGACCTCTCGGTAGGCAGCCGAGTACTTAACCGCTGTGCCAGCAGGGCACCTCGCCTAAATGACCCATTGTGATATTTATTGGTAAGATTCCTCAGCTTTTGTTTCTTAAACACTTGGAAGAATTAACAAAGACCAGTGGCTTCATCGGACACATGTCTGTCGTTCTGTAACCACCTTGTTCTTACTCACTAAGCCTACGGTGAGAGTCGCAATGCTGGGTGTTAAAGGAAATTCAGAAACGGACTGTGTTGTCAGGAAGTGTTTTCATTGGGTTTGGTACCTAGCCTCCTTAGAGGACAGTTCAGGGCTGTGTGTTGGTTCAGTGTCCGTGCCTGTCCCCTGTAGCAGATCGCTCCTGACTCCAGGAATGCGACTTCAGTTAGAGTATAACCCTCTGTGAAGATGCAGGTTCTTTGGATATGGGCATTTGCTTTGAACTGCCCTGTTTGCATTTTTGATATTTCTCTCCAGATGCTACCTCATTGTGTTTTCTTTCTTCGGTCTCCCTCTCCTAAGCACTGTGCTCTGCTGCCCCTGTCAGACTCTGTCATCTCCGAGTCTCTTCAGAATCTCGTTTCCTTGAGGGTGTGGGGCTAACAAGGAATGCTAAAGGAAGCTTGTCACTGACAGAGCTCAGCGTGGGCTCGGGGCAC